GGGTCAAGAAGCACGATCCAACAATATGCTGCATACAAGAAACACACTTAATTCAAAAAGAAACTCATAGACTGAGAGTTAAAGGGTGGAAAACATTATGGTATTATTTATAATAAAGAAAAATTAGATATAAATGAGAATAGAAGATTGTTTAAGTAACATGGGACATCTACATAAGAAAAACTGCAGTTATTACAAATTTCATATTCATTAAAAGAATGCTTAAGGTATGTTATGAAAGATATGATATGTTATGATATAACAGACATGATGTTAATTCCAACATTTGTAGAGAGTACCAAAATTTTTAAGTTTATGTCTTCAAGCTAGTAAAATATGGTTGATTTCATTATATATTTTTCTTTACTTTTCAAATTTTTCTAGAATTAACATTTATTATTTAAAAATAGTTTTTGTCCAACATCCAATTTATAAACCAAAAATAAGTATGACAGAACTCTTAAAAGTAAAACAAATAGAAGTCCTCAGTAGTCATTGGTAAAGGTTAAAGTTAAGGGTGTTAAATAGCATTGGCTCAGGATGTAGTGCAGTGGTAAGAGTGCTTGCCTAACACCTAAGAGGTCCTGGGTTTTAATCTCCAGTACAGGGGAGAGAGAGAAAAAGAGAAACAGAAGGAGAGAGAGAGATAGGAGAGAGAGACGGCAATAGAATGGTATTTTACTTTGCCTAAGTCAGTTTATTTGTCCATTCTACAATTACCAAACATCTATTTTGTGCCATGTATTCCCTTTAGGTGGTATGGAAATAAAAATCAGCAAATGTACTGATGCTCTTAAGGAATTCAGTGGAAAGTCATTATCAGCAATGTCGTAATTATTATGACATGATAGTGCCCATATTTGTTATGTGAACAGGACATTTTCGGGTCTCTTCCCACAGAGCTAAGTAATGAAATAAGTACATGCTTAAAGATGGCTTTCTGGAGGAGGTAACACACATTAGAAAATCTTTACAGATTTTTCTCTTCTACATTTCAGCTGCAATACAGCAATGGCGATCAGAAGGTAGAGTAGCTGTATGGCTCCACATTCCCATCCTCCAAAGCCAGTGTATTGCTCCTGCTGCTTCTCTTGGCTTCTGCTTTCACCACGCAGAATCATATTCATCAACTCTGGCTCTGTGGCTGGGAGAAGGGCCCAGCAGATTACCAGGATATGCTACGCATCAAGTAGGAGTTGCAGGTTAGTTTCAAACTCATGGCAAAAAGAATTAATTTTTTAGATGTTCACCCAATTTCATGCTTCTTACAGCTGAAGAGAGACAGTTTATTCATGAATGATTTGATTCATTGATGTTCTTCCTTGGGACCATTTCATACAACTTTTAAATAGATGAAGTTCCCCTTACTAGCCAGCAGGGGGAAGCACAGAGAACACCAAGATTACACTTTAGGTTTCCAAAGGATGTTTGAACATTTTCCACACAGATATTTGAACTTAGTTACTAAAAGTGGAATTGAATTTGGATCAGGAAATAAGTTCATTCTAGTAAAACATATGACAACCTAAGTAAATAAAACAGAAAGAATCTGCAAAGATGAATGATACGTATTTAGGAGTAGCAGAGTATTGTAATGGGAATTCACATGCTGTAGTAAACTACGAGTATATTCAAAGAGATTGAGGGCAAGGTAAGTTTTAACGACAAAAGTGAGAGAGGATTACAGCAGATATTTTGAAACAATAATCCTTGGATCACAGTGATTAATAATAAAAGTGGCATCAGTCCAAAGTTGAACAGTTACTGTGCAAATGTCCTTGCAGAGATTCTTTTTGTATGCTGTAGTGGCCTCTCTGTTAGCTTGTGGTTCTGGCGGTTTTTTGAGATGTTACTATCAGGCATTCCTAAGAACCCTTCATAACCTCTCAGTTTTATTTACCTTTCTTTTTTAAAGAATGCCTCCATTCAAAATGCCTCCATTTTGAATCGGACAACTTTCACACATACTAGCATTAAATATGTGAATTTCCACAGTAAAAGATAACTTTTAGATTGAAAATAGTGCAGACCAATGTTTTCAATGTTACTTCTTAAAGACACATTAAGTTATTGTGCCAATTATTCTAAATGACGTAATTTACAGTATAGAATTTTAGGGCACTCAGCTTCAGAGGTATAAGAAAGTTGAGAGCACTTCTTTCAGATTAAGATGGGGGTTCTCAAATTGTAGAGTGCAACAGAATTACCCGGAGGGATTGTCACAACAGATGGCCACACCCAGTCCCCAGAGTTTTTTATTCAGTAAGGTGAGCCTGAAAGTTTGCATTTCTTATAATTTCCCTGTAACTGTTTCTGTTGTTGCTGCTGATCTCAGTTACCACCCTTTGAGAACCATGGTTAAGGAAATTCTTAGATTTCAAAAAAAAAACATACCAAGGACTCTAAGGAGCAGTAGTATAATTAGTAATTAATTTTTAAATTTGCCTTTATATAATTTACTAGTTTTTGAGCTAGTTTTCACATCTGAAGTATTTTAAAGGTGTTATTCAAAGATGTCTTAATAATGTGCTTTGTCTGTGGTCTTACTACTTTGTAGCAAGTAGACATTCAGAAATTTTCCCATTCAGCTCTACTTCAAAAGATCCTACTTCATAATTTAGTGACATCGTCATACTTCATTGACAGCTTCATACTTTGAAAAGTCATACAAATCTGGTTATTATTATAGAATTATTAATATATAATTTACATAAAGAGAATCTTACAAAGGACCAGTTTATAACTAAGTATTATATTGTACATTATAGTTAACAGTGATGGCGAACCTTTTAGAGTTTTCGATGATACATACAATCCATTGCAGCGTGTGTGCCATAGGTTTGCCACCACTGGTTTAGAAGTACCTGAGGCCTTCAGGGACGGGAGATGTGGAACTTGACCAGTCTTGAAGGACAGCTAGGATTTGAGATAGCTCTTGGGGCTCAGAACAAGGTAATATAAGAAACTGTTCTGGAAAGGTGCAGTTTTTCAGGTAGGGAGAAAACTGCAAACATCAGAGGTAGGTATGGCTGGACTAGAGTGAGCTATGGCCTTCTTTCTGTTCTTCAGACCTAGCAAGCTTGTGTCTGACTAGAACTTTTTCATCTACTGGCTCCTCTTTTTGAAGTATGCCTCCCCAAAGCTTTGTTCATCTGGTTGCTTAGAGCTGAGGTTTCTACTCAAAGATCTCCTCAGAAAAGCTTCTAAAATAGGGTTCTCCCACGTGCCAGTCCCATCAGACTTTGTTCCTTTGTCTGCATTCATTTTTTATAACACTTACAATCTGAATTTATATCATGTACTCCGTCTCTCCCACAATAATATAACTCTATGAAGGAAGATATTCTATGTCTTGTTCACCACCATATCCTCAGGCAAAAGACAAAGTCTGGCATGAATACCAGGCCAGACTGTCAGGCACCCAGTATTTCATGAATAAATATTGTATCTTTAGAAATGTCAGCCCTCTGAGGGAGCAGCAGTGTCCTAAAGAGGCAGTGTTGCACGTGAGGAGTGCCTTTTTTTGGAATTCAGACTGGCTGTTAAGCCTACTTCTACCCCTTAGGGATGTGTGAACTCAGTAACTCATTATGATACTCACTGAATTGTTGTGACTAATACCTGAGATAATACACATGAACCACTTAGCACAGTGCCAGGATAATCATAGTAATATACTATACTAGGAACTTCCATTTAATCCCAGATCTTGGGTTGATTTTGCTTATATATTGTGACCAGCAGGGGTCGCTCAAATTATGTTTCCAAGGTGCTGGTGTTGTCTGATCTTAGGCTCAGGTATGAATTTGTTAGGGAAAAGTTCAATTTGGACGATCACAAATTACTAAAATTTAAGAATGCATTTCCCTTGTATTCTGTCCTTTAGAAAGTGCAATTAGATTATAGTTTGCATTTTATAATAGAATTCATTACTAATTTATCATTTAGTTAGTGGTTTTCCTGTTTTCAAAAATTGTAGTTTTATTTTGGCTTCATTCCAATTACTTTTCCTTATTACAAATATATAATCCCTTACATATTTTCTCTATATAGTATTATCACCTTCTGATGTTCTATATGACTTATCTTTTGTTTGTTCCCTGTCCACATACATATACACCAGAATGTGTGCATCACGGATAGGGAGTTTTGTTTGTTTACCACTATACCCCAGAATCTATAGAAGTGCTTGACACATCACAGGGACACTAAAGAAAATGATAGAAAAAGTTAGATTCATTTACTTAACTATCTACTCTGAAGAGTGGACAAACTAGAGAAGAAACTTATGCAGATGATTATTCTGTATGTTAACATATGCTAGAATTATCTTTGGTAATCTTAAAGTTGTTTAAAAAATATGGATAACTAAGCAATCACTTCATTTCTAACAAGATTTATAAATTTTCATGGATGTGGTATTTCAACTAGGCGCTCAAGCACAGTAGCATTTTGATAATCACAGATTAGCACATGGAAGAAGTCAAAACTAAATGAAATTGCTCTTTCATTACCTTTTATTTTTTTACCCCGAAAGGAGCTGTATTTGATGAAAGTACTAGAAAAATATTGGTTGTACAAGATCGAAATAAAGTAAGTCACTTCTCATAATTGCTTCCCAAATGTTCTCTAGAGAAAATGAAAATGTAGAAATTTTTGTATGCTTAAGAAATTGTCAGAAGGTCATTTTGTTATTTATCTAAATTAAAATATCTTATACAGGCCTTGAAAATGTCAAAGTAACACTCAGTGTTGCTCATTATAACTTTATGGCTATGGGATACTTACAACTACTTGGGAAGACAGCTGTGTCTCTAACACATTACTAAGATACTGTGCCATTCATTCAGCATTCATCAAGATGCTACACTATGTCAGGTGCTGAGAATACAAAGATTAGTAAGGCAGTATGCCTGATGGCCTGTTTGGACAAGCAGTCATAAAACAGATGCTAACAGTTTACTTTGCTTTAAGAAGACCTTAAAGATTTCTCAGAAAAGGTGACATTTAAAACAGTGTAGCAAACACGAGTAGATGCTTCCCAGAGAAGAGAGGGCAGAGGAGAGATAGAGATAGGGAGACAAAGGAGGGGGAGAGGGGATGGGGACAGAAAGAAAGGAGAGGAGAGGAAGGGAGGGGAGGGGAGGAGGAAGGGAAGGAGAGAGAGAGAGAGGGAGAGGGAGAGAGTGGGAGAGAGACAGAAGAGAGTAGAGAGAAAGGAGAGGAAGGGGAAAGTGAGGGGAGATGGAGAGAGGAGATGAAGAGACAGGAGAGGAGAAAAGCTGGGAGAGGAGAGGAAGAGAGAGTAGTGAGTGAAAAGGAGTGAAAGGGGATTGAGAGAGGAGAAAGAGAAGGGAGGGGGAAGAGAGAAAGGAGCAAGAGATGAGGGGGAGAGGGTAGTGAATTGGGGGAGACAGGAGAGGAAAGGAAGAGTGTGTGGAGAAAGAGACAGGTGATGGGGAGAGAGGAGAAAGGGAGAGGGAGTAGAGAGAGGTGGGGGACAGGGGAGGGCAAGAGAGAACTGAAACTATTAGAGGGACTCTATATAATATAAAGGGGCTCAAGGGGCTTCAGAAAGGGTTCAGAAAGGGTTCAGAAAGGGGCTGACATTCTCAGTATGTAATACAGATGCCACTGTGTGTTACTGGCATTAACAACTTCCTTCAGCTCAGGAACCAGCAATGAGATCAAGCAGCACTCATTTAGTGGCCTATGAAAGAAAAGGAGGAGCAAAAGAAATATTATGGAAAAGAGATGCTTAAGTGAAAGAGATAAGAGTATTACTTCTTCTCAAAACCTAAGATGCTTATCTATTTTTATAGTTTTTTAAATGATCCAGATAAACACTGACGTCTATATATAGAAAATAGAGAAGTCTGTATTAATAATCCTTAGTTGTTAATTAGTAATCCTGTATTTATAACCCTTTCTCTTCTGGGAACTTTTCAGTAGTCATGATTTGGCAACTGGTTCTTTAAATGTTAAGTTTTATCCCTTTAATCAAGGTTACTTGGACTCTAAGGAAGATTAGTTCAAAGGGCATATGAAAAAGCATATAGTAAAAGATTAGTGAGAAATATCAAAACATCTTAATTAAATTTCTTAAAATATAGTTAGAATCAGATTGCCTGGATTTTAACCTTGAGTTTATCACATATTAGGTTTGTGACTCTGAATTGTTAAGCCTTATATCCTCATGAGGTTTTATCACTTCTAAAATGGGAACATTAATAGATTCTCATGGGATTATTGTAGAGTTTATGCATAATTCTTACAAAAACATTTATGAGAATATCTAGAATATAGTGAGCATTCAATAAATATTATCTAATATTTTAATATTATTATGTTGTTAAACCTGCTATTGAGTATTTTTTAATATTAAAAAAGTGGGAAGATATATTTGTCTCACTATTGATCATAGGTAGAATATTAATCAGGTTTTCAAACAACATATAGGCCTCTACCTATTGCTTAGAACTCAAACTCATGCTTTTTGGGGAAAAGAAGGAAGCTTTTTTAGAAATAAGCACTATAAACCTAATTGGTATCACAAAATGTCACAAAGTATTTACCAACATTAAAACATACCTAGTTTTTCATATCAAGGGCCTAATTTATGAAATAAAAATATATGTGAGCTGTCTTAAATCCTTGTTATCTAGCACACCCCCCATACTTGGTCTCTCATATATAATCAGCAGTCTTCAGAAAGGTAAGGATTTTGAAACTCTACTTTTATTGTTTTTAGGAAGCATTCATCTGCTTCATTATAGTATTTTTTGTTACAAATAATATTTATGGTGATGATGTCCAGTATCCTATCAGACAAAAGCCTACAGAATTTCTGAAGAAGAAAAGCTTCTGGAACCATTTCAAAAAAGACAGTGCACAGATAAAGAGATTATGAAATAGATTTTGACATTAAGCCAGACACAAAAGGGTGGAAAGCCTGAATTCTATATCAACATAAACCACAGTCAGTGGAAACTCTGGGAAACATGCCACTTGTCTCCAAGCTAGCATAATTGAGAAGCGACACATTCTTTAAGAAGCACTCATCCAGGAAATGACTGGTTCCCAAATCTCACCACTAAAAAGTCCACAACTTGTTTTATGAATGAAGAGTATAAAATGTACTAGCTAAAGGTATAAATTCTCTTGTGTATGTTATAATGTCTCAGTTATTTTTGAGTTTTTATCACGGGGATTGCTATAACAAAACTCTAAAAGGAAAAAACCATGTCAGTCATAAAATATTGATATAATTATCTTTACACTGTTTTTATGTATATCTATTCCAAAGATTGGATATTCCTACCTCCACCTCCTCACCAAAAAAAAAGACAACAAAACACAAAACTAAGCAATTTTATTCACACTACCCATGAAAAGCAATTTTTTACATAAGATTATTAACACATAAAATAGAAATCTTAAGAGTAATATGTTATTAGAAACACAATATAGTGAAATAGACATGAAAATTAAGAATAGCATACTTAGTGACTGAATTTATTCCATACTTTCTACATATATATAGCAGCATCTGTAAGACTCTTTTATTTGTTCATAGTTAACTAGCAGCGAACTTTTTAAAGATATACAAATGCAGTAGATATTTCCCTTCAAAATTTCATTAGTACAAATTTTATCACACTGACCAAATAAAGCCACTTCTGGTCCCTGAATAAAAGGGTTAGAAAAGATTTCATGTCACCAGCTCCCTTAGAAAAGAAGGAAAGAGGGAGTAAGGAAATTTGCCAAAATTTACCAAAAGGTGAATTCTCAATGACACTGATCAACTATAGGTGTATTTTGTGGAGTCTGAGTATGTATGTGTGCATATGTGTGCATTAAGTGAATAAATGTTACATAAACTTTATTTTATGATTTCACACTGTAGTTGAAAAATATGTGGAAGTTTCCAGGAGGCTTGTCAGAGCCTGGAGAGGATATTGGTATGTATCTTATATATTTTTAATTAGCTTGAAAACAAAGAATATCCATGTGTTTACTTTCTTCTTTATAGCTAAGAATAAGAATTTAAATTTTTGAATTAGTTTAGACCACGTTAGAAAGTTTCAAAGAGATCACTATGGGCTAATATAAAATTAGCAGCAAAATATCTAACATTACAATTTGTTCCATTAGTATAAGTAATACCATTAGTAAAATAATATCTATTCTTCCGTTTGCTTTTAGATTAATCCATATGAAAGGAGCAGCTTTGGATATTCATCAGTAAAGTTAGGTTATTTTCAATAGAACTAAAGTTGTTGATGGAATAGAACTATGAGAAAACATAAATTCTTGACCATTCCATCACAAAAAGGTGAATATTAAGTAAGCTTTGCAATCAATAGTCAATTATAAAACAAACGTGATGTTATTTTCTTCATGAACTTTTTATCCATTTATTTTTGGTTAGAAAGCTACAACTTAGTAATGTGTCATGCAAGAAAATTTCAAGTGAAAACAGCTCTATAAAACAACTTACTAAGCTCAATATTAAGATAGAAATAGTAGATAAGCTAAGAATTTTATTTGTCACTGATAGGCAAGAAACAGAAGACTAGAAACTGATTATATCCATCTATGTCTTAAACCACTGGACCAAATTCAATGTCATCCTATTAATAAGTAATATATTTAATACAAATATTTTTATAGGACTTTTTCTTTAATATGTATGCCCTCCATTCTTTAGCCAAAAACTGTATTTATAGTAATCTCCTAAATTTACTTTCATTGAAGTGTCTGTTCTTGAAAATAAGTGTTACACCCCATCCTTAGAGTGAAAAATAAGAACCAAGAGAGACTATGTAAAGGTGCAAATTTCCAGTGATGAATGTCATTGTATTGTATACCTAAAATGTAACAATGATTAGAATGAATAATCAATAATGTAAAATAGGAAGAAAAGGTCCAAAGGGGTAGGGGTAGTGGGAGGGGCAGGGGAAAGGAAAGAAGGGAAAGGAAAAATGATGAGAAATGGAAAAAATGGAAATAAAGTCTCTGTAAATAGGGAAGGGTGGAGGGCGTGAAGGGAGGGCTAGGAATGGGAAAAAAATAAGAACCAAGATGCATTATGTAAAGGTACAGTTCCCAGTGAGAAATGTAATTGTGTTGTATGCCTACAATGTACCAATAAAAGAATTTAATACAAAAAAAAATAAGTGTTACATAGATCAAAAGGTTCAATCTTTGTCTACAGATTATATAAGCAACCCCAACAATCTATGAGTACATTAGCGATATTAAGGTATGTCTCTAACAAATCTTGGTTTTAGATACTTGATGGCCTTTTGCTCAGACTCTGCTAATTACTCTGTTGACATAAAAAGAGTATTTTGTGGAAGTGCAAGTGAAAAAGGCCATTTATTTTCTAAGGCTAATTTATCCTAATTATCTCACATTATCCATATGTGACATATAACAGTATGTAAACTGGGCAAACTTAAGTTTTGCCTTCTTACCCAGTTGTTAATAAGAAAAAAGCAGTCTGTAGGTTTGCATAGCTTCCATACCTGAGCTAGGCCTTCACAGATAAATTTGTTTCTTTTTTCCTTTGAGCTTTTATGAATCCTCCGAATTTCAGATAGACTCATACTTAGATATTAAAGAAGAAACCCTTTTCTAGGCCAAATATGTATATAAGTTTAGGTTAAAGCATAATTCCAGAAACTTTAAATCTGAATAATTAAATACACTCCTTTTTAAAAGTATGTGAGATTATCACAGCAACCCACCTATCCAGGCCAAACACACAAAGTATGATTGAAATACAGTGAATAAAATTTTAAAATGTATGTATGATACAGTAAAAATTTATGATATTATTGATGACCTATCCAAAGGTCACATCTACAAAGTATGATTAAAATACAGTGAATTTTAAAAATTTGATACAGCACACATTGCCATTTACCCCCTCAAAAGACTCCTCCTTCAGACATTTATTCTTGCCACCTCCTGAAGCAGTTCTGGAAGTTCTCTTTCATGAGTGCCTAAATAAGGTGTAATCAAAAATACAGTGAACACTGCTGCCAAGTGTCATCCAATAGAAAGGCAAACCTAAAAACATTACTGTGTCCTTCACCCACTTTATTCCTGGATCTCACACCGTGCACCTTCTTGCTCTTTCCCAAAGTCAGATGATCATGAGAGGCAAATATTTTGAAGGTTCAGGACACTGATCCAGCCCCAACACCACAACTAAAGACACTCACAAAAGAGAACTTCCAGAACGGCTTCAGATAGTGACAAGAATGATGCAGTAAATGGGTTCAAAGTGAGTATTTTGAGGGGTTTTAATAATGATGTGTTTTCTACTGTAATAAACGTTTAAGATTTTTAAATATTCACGGTACTTTTTGATCATAGAGCATATACCTCAGCCACATGCAATCAAGAAAAAAGCATCAAATGGCATTCACTACACTACCCAAGTATAGTATAAATTAAAGCTTTGCTTTAGAACTGATTAAACCCTGAAAGAAGCTGGAAATGAAAACTGACAGTAAACATCTGAAAGACTATTTCTACAAGTGGGCATTTTTGTTTTGTAACAGTGCAAAACTACAGATATTCTTTGTAATGAGGCCAGATCATCCTAAAATCAAACTATTTTCTTTAAATATTTTAGGAAAGAAATATGTAAGTATTTAGGAACAGTGCCAAGAAAAACAAACATTTATACTGGCTCTTAATTGAACTCAATAAGCCCCATTAAATGAACACTAATTAACTACAAAACACTCTTGTTTAGAATCTTACTTCTTTGATAATACTAGGAAAATGAAACATTTTCAAGTGTTTTTTAAAAAATTAAGAGGGTTGGGCCAGGGATTTAGCTCAGCCGTTCCGCCACCTGCCTCGCAAGCGCAAGGTCCCAAGTTTGATCCCCGGTACAAAAAAAAAAAAATTAAGAGGGTCAGATACAAAACAGAACAGTCTTCAAGGCTTGAGTGTAAAGGTATCTATGAGGTTAAAATGGAAAACTGCCTTCCTAAAAAATTCATTAACCCTGACAAAGACAGTGGCCAAAGGAATGTCTGATCAGATGTTATCAGTCCACTAAAGTTACTGGGAAACATCAGGAAAGACCACATTCTGCAAATTTTTTCTATTTTATTTCAACCTAATTTTATTATTAAATATTACAAAAATAGAAATAACGAGTATAAATTCTATTTCATTATTGTCCTGCAGTTAAACAAAATATGACATAAATATATCTCTTAACCAGTGAAAATTAAAACCTTCTTAGTTTTTCCTATGTTCTTACACCTAACAATGTGATTTTAGTTTAACTTACAGTTTATTAAAATAATTTTAAAGGCATAATAGAATGAATCACTTTACCTTTAAATTCATACTGAAATCCTTAAAGAAGAGATTTCCATTTAGAAGTAGAAAAGGGTCTTCCATATCCCAGATACAAAAGCAGTTGTTTGCTCTTCCAGTTTTCAGTCTAGTCATTGATGTGCTAACTCAGGTTATACTCATCAAAACTATCCAGGCAGCACTGAATTTCAGTCAACTACAGTGGTGACTGCTGAGCAGGACAGACTGACTCACTAGCCCCGTTCTATGCTTATGACATATGAACAACCTGGACTCATGAGCTTTATAAATGTTTGTTGTTGGTTTTGGCCTTTTGAGACAAGGTCTTACTATGTAGTCCTACTTGACCTTGAACTTGCTATGTAGCCCAGGCAGGCCTTGAACTTGTCATCTTCTTTGCTTTCTGCCTCCTGAGTGCTGGGCTTATAAGCATGGACCACTACATCTGTATAAATGCCCTATTTTTTTATTAGTGGTACCAAGAACTAAACAGGTTCCCCATAGTTATTTTTCAGAGCATTTAAAAAATAAAAATATATATTTGAGCAAGAGTTATGGGCCATTATAACTAATCCCACAAGCCTTAATAAATTTAATAACAAATATATATTACAGATTAAAATTACTTTTCTTATTAAACAAAGTTTGTCTTAAACTGCCCCATTATACTTTTAGTTTTATCCCCACTTCGTTCTTTTCTTGGTGCTGGCAATCAGCTCTAAGACCTCATGCATGCCAGGCAAGCTCTCTATCACTGAGCTACACCCCCTGCCCCGTGCTTTCAGTTTTAGAATGTGATTTCTAGCCATGTTTAACCTATGAGCAGATCTCAATTACAAGGAAAATCAGTATGTAATTGAAAAATGATAGATAAATGTCTTTTTTTTTTAGGACACATTACTTTTCCTCTTAATCTTTCCAGGGCTATTTCTCAGAGACAAAAACAAGGGCATATCCTGGGTACTGGTAAGAAAATCTATAGTCAGAGAACACAGGAATTGAGAGACATTTTTTTCTGACTTCCTCTTCCTTGCCTAGTTTTTTTTATTTTTTATTTTTTTTGGTACCAGGGATCCAACTCAGGTCCTTGTGCTCACATAGCAGGCAGCGAAACCACTGAGTTAAATCCCGGGCCCCTCCTTGCCTAGTTTTTGCCAGTAAGATTACTGCAAAGGCAAAAATCATTTACTCTGTGACAAACAACAGTAAGGCATTAAAAGATATTTGAACAATAATCTATGGCAATTATGGAGCTTCCCAGAAAAGTGATCAAGAAGGCAGTGTTTTAAAAGAGATGATGATAGAACACCACAAAATTAAGTAAAATCCATTTTAGTCTTTCTGAATGTTTAGAAAAAAGACATAAAAATATATTAATGGTAATAAAAAAATCCTGCCACAAATTGCACTTGAGAAATCAACCTTATAAATGTGAAAACCACTGTTGTTATAAAATTCTGTATATTCCTAGCTTTTTGAAAACTTCTCATGAAATAACTATTACATTTTGGTGCTGAAGGAATAAATTCAAGTTCTTTGGAACCTTATCTCAAGAAACAAAGGCAATGCTAAAAATTACTACTGTGGGGTGTCACTGACAGCATCACTAGAGGAGCGCTAAATGGTTATAAAGGAATCCAGTAGAGGACCTGCAGGTTTGACATGCTACCCACCAGGAGAGATTACAATCATTTCAATACATTTTGCAGTTCTACAGACTCTTGTAAGAGTAGACCATTTTTTCTCAATCCTGACATCCATAAATTTAGGGAGTTTGGGTGGATGATCAGGAACAGGATATTGAAGGAACATATCAGAATATTAACTGCTGCTTTGCAACATGTGTTTTCACTTTTGCAACCTGTTTTTACCTTTTAGGAAATAGAGCAAGAAGAAATTAAAAAGATGTGAGCCTCCAAACTGTACAAGTAGATAAGCCTCCAAGTAGCAGCTAAAGAAATATTCAGTATTTCAAGAGTCTTAAGTGGAGAGCAGTAATAAAATATTTTGATATTTCAGGATTCCAGATGGCAAAGAGTTTGTACTGAAAATAAACACTTGAAAATTTTGCTTTTGAACTTTAAGATTTTAACTGAAAATCTCTGATGATGAAGTCTCTCAAACTGTGATCCTTTTGATTTGCGTATTTCTCTCCTCTGTAGGAGACACAGCAGTTCGAGAAGTTTTTGAAGAGACTGGTATAAAATCAGAATTCAGGTCCCTCCTGAGTATTCGACAACAGCACACCAATCCAGGAGCTTTTGGGAAGTCAGATATGTATATCATCTGTCGCCTCAAGCCATGTTCATTCACCATAAATTTTTGCCAGCATGAATGCTTAAGATGTGAATGGATGGATCTCAATGACCTAGTCAAGACTGAAAACACAACTCCCATCACCAGCAGAGTGGCTAGCCTGCTGCTGTATGGATACAGAGAAGGGTTTGACAAGATTGACCTCACCATGGAAGAACTTCCAGCAGTTTACACGGGCCTGTTCTATAAACTGTATCACAAGGAATTGCCAGAAAATTACAAAATTATGACAGGAATGGATTAAATTCACATTTACATGTTTTAAAGTCAACTGTCCATGTAGATTAATTATGCTATAAGATATGGTGAACAATTGGGATTGATTAAATATCTGATGCTGATTTTTCTAATGATTTTTCATGATGAAAAACTAAATATATCCACTTTAAAATCTTCTTTTCAAATAAAGCAAATATGTGAAAAAGATAGTAGCTCTAGTCTAGGTAATCTTCAATGGTAACAGCAGATGTTATATAAAAGGGGTAAGTCTACATTTTCCAAGAAGTTTTGTTTCTTTACTGAGGCAATGGTTAAATATTTTACTATTAGATAAAAAGTTGTCTGATCTGTTATCCAAACTGAGCTGTATACATTTCTTTTTTTTCTCACTAACAATTTTCTAACATACATTTCTTCTTGCACGTAAAATGAGATCCGATCCTGCCGTTAAAATCAGCTCTTAGCAGACATTGGAAGAAAAAGTATAGCTTTCTGCCCCGGTCCTGTTTTGGATCCAAGTTTATATTGTCCAGTTCGTTTCAGTGCCACATACCAACTGGAGTATTTCCTTGACCGATAAGTATTGTAGTTATTAGATTCCAATCGTTCAAAAAAGAAACACTCATCTGTAACACATTTCTGAAAAACAAAGGAAGAATTACTTGTTATTGTTATACTTTTTATATTGAAAATTTATTATAGTACAGTGTATTCTGCCCAACCAGGAGTAATGATCTTGGGTTCAAGAGGACAATCAAATGAATAATCCTCAAAAGCCCAAAATATATCATAGACAAGCATGTGCTATAGACCACCTCTATGGTGATACACAGAAGGATACAAGCCAAACACACAGGATGTCAGCAGGACAGCATCAAGCATATCTCTTCAGAAGGATGAGTCCAGGGACCATTTTCCAGGACCCACAGTAACCCATGAGGTATAGACAGTGAAATATGTCTGTGGTATAGCAACCACACTAGTTCAGACCTGAAACAACCACAAACAAAAATTTGAGATCCCCACAATGAGGGACACACCCAGGAACAAGAAGCACACTCAACTCAGGGAAGCCCAAAGCTATAGCTTCCAGTAGGTATATAAGGTTCATCCCCTCCCAGTCCTGAGGAAGATTACCCCGGTCAGTGGTCATTTTTACTTTTACATTTTTTACATAGGTCCAGTGAACCAATGCTAGAATAGTAAATATAATTTCACAAAGAGAAGATGGGGGTTTGTTAATACTCTACTCATAGAAACAGAATTAATTTCTTAAATAATTTTTTTAGTGGCTAAAGTTGTAAGGCATAAAAAGAATTATTTGTTGTATAGAAAATAGCTCATATAATGCATTCAGAATGGCTATCTTTCAAATAGACCTCGTAATAGTATTCCAAGTAATGGAGTCTAATGTACTACCACATTATTTAAGACAAATGTTCAAAAATTAATTTCACAAGGTAGCACTAATGATACTTATTGATCTGGGAGAAGGAGGAATCAACTCTTCACTTTAAAAGAAAAATCATTTATGATTGTGTGCATTCACCAAGTGAATTATAAACTTAAAGAATGCCACACATACTGCATACATTTTTAAACATTTGTATTTATACATATAAATAAAAGATGGTCTACATATATAAATATCCGATTTCAACTTATTTCTACATACTGATATATAAGAAACCAGGTTTTAGAAAATCCACATTAAAAAGACTTAAAACTATTCCCAGGTTTTTTGGTTCCAAGATAAGGCAAACAATGGCATGAACAGGAGGAAAAATAAGCAAATCTAGAAAAAGAACTAGCATAACAACAAAAATTGAAAGTACAAGACAGAAACATCTAAAAGTAAGTAACATGTTTCTACCATCTAAAGTAGGGGAATGATATTAGATCCCACAATCTGTTTCTAGAGAAAATAATTTTACTGGATATTTACTTGGCTTTAATATTCTGTTGTAAGCTGGATTCTTAAAAACTGAAATACTTAAGTTATTTGCTCATCATGTGAACTATTACTAATAAAAATGTCCTTCTGATACAAATAAACCACAGGTACCCTTACACAGAGGCATCATTGCCCAACAACCCAGATTAAATGAAACACTTGAATTCAGGGTAACATAGATATTGTAAATCCAGTATTTTCTCTCTACCTTTGGTGAAATTTATTTTCCTTTGGTATGGTTTGAGTGTGCTCCTAAGGTTCATGTGTTCAAAGTTGGACCCCAGTATGGTGAGGTTAAGAAGTAGAAGACCTTTAAGAAACAGATCTAGTAGGGGGATCATTAGGTCATTTGGAACATCAATCTCAGAAGAGATCTAGTTAAGACTCTGAGGACTCTGGTTAGTTCTCGCACATGTGGGCTGTAGTAAACGAGTAAACGGCAAGCCTAAGAATGGCCCCTCCCCAGTCCCCGGCTTCCTTCTCACCATGTGATCTCTCCCTCACACACTTGCTCCCACCATGATTCCATCTGCCACGAAGGGATGTGCCAAGGGGACTCACCAGAGGCCAAATGGATGGGGCCAGCAACCTTGGGCTGTCACCCAAACCGTGAGTCAATAAAGTACTTGGCCTTGGGTATTTCACTGTAACAATGGAAAATGGATTCTTCTTGTGGGAACTTAAGTCAGTTTGTGTTACTCTGTCATTTTAAGTACCAGTGATTAAATATCTTTCCTTTTTTCTAGTCCAGTTTTAAAATCATAAATAAAAATGTAGAGGAAGTAAAAAGTAAAAGCAAAATTATAGTATTACAAGGAACATGTAAAAGGTCATCACTGAAATTCACAAGATAATTGCAATTCACCAGGGTAAACTCACACAATACTTCTCAAGCACATTCTCACTTTTCAGTGTCCTGTCAAATTCCCTGATGGATGCCCACTTTGCTAACTGGTACTCTACAATGCTTGACCTAACAGGATGCCATTTGTAGCTATGTACTAATATTTCAGAGAAAAGAAGTAATATTAGGGATGTATCTTGAAACCCACAAACTTTATTGAAGTTACATGTACTTTTGAAAAACAGTGGAAGGAAAACTTGCACCTGTGTTGAACGTTCGGCCCTTCTGTACTTAACAGACTACATTTTTAAAAATGTGTAACAATTTTCAATTCTCTCCATTCTAACTTTACAAACTATTTTAATGACTGAACTTAGCGAGTGTTCCTCTTAAAAGTTAGTACAATATAATTTTATTAGCCTTTATGAACATATGTACAAAGTTCTTTTCCTATTCTCAGTATGTGCGCATCATTTCAAATTTGAAGGAAAAAGGGATCTTCAGAGGAACAACATCACAGAGGAAATGGGTAAGGCGGCTAAGGACTTAGAAAAACTTACATCTAGTTTCAAAGCCTTATTTTATATAAGCTTAGGAGCTGGGAAATGCTTTAACTCATAGTACCTGACAGTTTTCATGCACATAATTTCATTCAAAACATAATTTCATATATTCAACAATCAACACAATTTTCATATATTCACAGTCATTAACATGGTTCTCTGAGTAACCCCATAGATTATAGACAACCTTTACCCACCTGACACCTTTTCATCAAATTAAATTTCCCTCTGTGTTGATGACTTTTAAAAATTTAAGAATAACGGGAGTACAGAGAGCACAGAGTTCAAATAATGCATTTTGTCATTCAACATAGGTATTCTTTCCCCTCACCTAAAGCCCCTAAGACACATCAGTGAACAAAAGTGAATAAAAATCCCTGCTTTTGTACCACTTGAATTCTAGCTGGGAGAGACATAGTAAACAGTAAGTATAACTGACTAAATCATATTCTATATTAAAATATGAGTCTTTGGGGGAAAAGTAAAACAATTTGGATAGAGAGTCTGGGATGGTGGGAGTGGAGTTTGAATAGCATGATCACACCAGGCCCCACTGAGAAAGTGACGTTTGAACAAATACTGTACTACAAAGTTGAAGGACTTAACCCCAGATATCAGAGAAGAGCACTGACAGGCAGGGGGATGGTGAGTGCAAAAGCCCTCTGGCAGGATCACACCTGCAGTGTCTGAGGGGTACTTAGGCCAGTATGAATAAAGCAGAGGGCTGGAAGGAAACAGTAACAAATGAGATCAGAGAGGTAAAGGGGGCAGATCCCCTAGAGATTTGTAGGCCATTGTAAATATTTTAGCTCTGACTGAGAATATGAAGAACCACTGTAGGCTTTTGAGCAAAAAAGTGATACAATCTGACTTTTTTCCAGGATTTCTTCAGCTGCAAAACCACAGTGGGTGAAAAGCAGATATGAGAAACCAGTGAGAAGTTTGTGCAATGATACATGCAGAGAGAACAGAGGTTCAGATCCAGTGGTGGGATAGAGGGAAGAAGCTGTCAGTTTCTGGCTGTATCTTGAATGTAAAGTTGAAAGGGTTTCCTGACAGACTAGATGTGTACTGTGAGTGAAAGAAACTTCTGAAGGCACTGAAATTTAGGTTCCAAAAGGTTGGACTTGTAATCAACTGAGATGGAGAAGACTATGCAGACAGATTTTATATAGAAAGATCAGGAACTCTGTTTTGCACATGTTCAGCTGAGATGAACATAACACAAACAAGTGGAGATAAGCATTTATTGTGAACCTACTATGCAAAAGACATGTCATTGAGCCCTCTTTCCCCCTTGCTAATGCTAATTAACCACAGACTTGGAGGATGAAAGCATTGATATCTTTGGAACCCTAGAAAGTATGTTATGTACAAAAATTCCAATGAACTATTCCAAAGTCTAAACTGCATAGATACTAAAGAGGGATGTGGATGTACATGCATATGAATGACATAAATTTGTCATGTTGTCGTGATGGGGCAACACCTCAAGGTTTCCCCAGAGGCTACTCACAGAAACCAGCTCAGCCTGGGATCCTACAATGGGGCCCAATAATTTGTCAATATTGACACTGATAATGATACTGATATTAAAATGATGCTGGGAGTTCGACCCCTTGTATCAAATAGACAATAGGTAAGAATCTAATTTAATTTTTAAAAGTACAATGAACACTTTAAAGAGTTTGATTCAGTTTTTGTCTAATTTACTTTTAGAAAAACCAAGGTTATGTGAGATATTTCTACATACTGAAAGTCAGATCTAAGAGATAGTGGGGGGTAGGCTTCTCACTGTAGGAGTCACAGAGCACAGCCAAGGAGAGGGAAAAAGCTGAAATACCCATG